TCCAATAAAAGCACGAGTTTAAAATTTCAGTTTATGTCTCAGCTAACCGTCGTGAAGGAAAATATTTCCTGGGAAACGACCAAAGGCAGAAGGACAGCAGAGACTCGCTCGGGGAGATAAACACCCTGACTTCAGGCTGCTGCCACCAAACCAGAGGAAAGACGTCTTCAAAAGCAGGGCCGCTAATGAACACATTTTATTTGCAATTCTGTCGTTACGTCATTTTATGAATGTGGGAAATGTTATTTTTCTCTGTAGAAGAGGAAAACCTACGACGGACAAGTTTACAAACACTGAGAAGCTTCCATTCTAAAAGGGCTGATGAGTTGCCATGGTGTGGGAGCCAACAGTTACGCTATCTTGCCACTGCACAAGTTCGAAGGTACCAGTTAAACCTGCCTGGTTTCAGAAGGCAGAAGGAGCTGGGGACGAAAGAGTGATAATCATGGGAAATTATGTTGGGGAATCAGTCTTGGCAAAATGTGAAGCAAAAGACAGATGCTTCATACTCAAGCATCACTCGGCAGATGGTTTAAAAAAATGCAAGGGGGTGATATGAGTTGGGTGGGAGAGAACTAGTGAAGATGGACAGATGGATGGAGAACGAAGAAACAAAACAACCCTGTCCAACAACATTACACAGAAGTCTGGATTTTGAGTCATGTCTTGAAATCCAGTGACGACCAGAAATTCAAAAAAATTAGGAGTCTGAAGATCTGCTAGGAAAAAATAAAAAAGCCATACCCAGTGTTTAAAAAAAAAAAAACCACAATCTAGTTTGAAAGAGTATTTCACAAATAAATCTTTGAAAAGATAAATTGAATTATTCATGAAATCTCAAAACAAGGAAGTCCTATTCTACGCACGTTGTTGGTATACACAGAGAATAGGAATAAGGACCACATCACTAGGGCAGACACGGAACAGTTTTTCCAAAGGTTAGAAAAAAAGTTCACAGGGCAAAATGCGTTATTCTGAGCATATGAGAGACTAATACATGAGGCTAACCATGGATAGCCATAAAGCTAAAAGAATCTATGAATGATGTAATTAAACTTTTTTCTGGCTCCCAGCCCAGCTCTTAATCCATGTAAGCGTGGCCCCACTAGCACCAGGGTTATCCAATTAAACAACCAAGCTTCTCTAAAACTATGTCTATAACCCAGAACCCCTTTGCTTAAATATTTTGTAGTGCAATTTAACACCAAAATTCATTTCAAAACACAAATTACTCTAATTTAGAAACCACTTAATAGATTTATTTCCAGGAAGTTTTCAACTCCTATGATCTCAATAGACTGCTAATTTTACCTAATAACTTTAATCTCTTTTTCAAACACAGCTGAAATAAGCACACACTACATGGCTCAAAGTAACATTAGATATAATTTTCAGGAGTGCCTATCAAGCTAAACAAAGTATTTTTAAAAAAACCTCAAAAAAAAAAAAAAGAAACTTTACCTTTTACTTTAATAACCAGTCTTTAAGGAGATTTTTTTCTTATACTTTAGTTAACTTGGTAGGCACTCCTAGAAATTACATTTAGTGTCACTCTGAATTATGTAATGTTTGTTTAATTCAGCTGTGTTTGATATGTAGGGTCACTATCAGTCAGCATCGACTCAATGGCAATGAGTTTGGGTTTGAGTTTTGCCTATAAACAGACCTAAATACTTAAATGGATTTATAATTGGGCGAGTTTAATTAGTAGAAGAAGCCAAAATAAATGCCTTTTCTTTTACTGTTGGGGGGGAGCACTCATGATTTTACTTCCCTCCTACCTCCCTTCTGATTGAAAAAGCTTGCTCACCCTTTAATTACATAATAAAAACTTAAAATATATATTATTACCCAGGCAATGTATGTTATATTGATAAAAGAGTATACTTAACTAACATTTTCCTTTTAATCTTATCCTGATTGTTTTTTTTAAATCCTGCTCCAGGTGCTTGGTGTACTCACTGCTACTGTGGTTTCACTGAGTCTGGCTGGTGAACAAGGCTAGGGAAGATATGTATGCATGCATGTGTGGACATACATAAATATAAACACATCATATACATACTGTATTTTTCCACATTTAACACACCCAAGTTATAAGGACATGCATATAACACAGCTCATAGAGATTAATGTGTGAAGAGTAATGTGTGAGAGGTTGCACTGTTTGCAGGAAATAGTATAGCATGTGACCATATATGTATACATATATGCGATCATATGTGTATACATATATGTAAAACCCGGGAGTTCATACTGATTCTTCCGATTCTAGTCCAGTTCCTCAGCACTGGTTCTTTCTTAACTTTCCTCACTCTCTGTAATTCTTGTCTTTCACTTCATGCAGTTGATTTCAACTCTCAGGAGCCCTAGAGGATGGAGTAGACTTTGTGGGAGGCGATGGCCACATCTTTCTCTAGAGCACCTCCTGCTTTCAACCTTCCTCATGCCACGACCCTTTCTTACAGGTCCTTATGTTGTGGTGACCCCCAACCATCAAATTATTTTCGTTGCTACTTCATAACTATAATTTTGCTACTGTTATGAATTGTAATATAAATATCTGATATGCAGGATGTATTTTCATTGTTACACACTGACCATAATTAAACATAATTAAAGCATAGTGATTAATCACAAAACAATATGTAATTATATATTGTGAAATAATTATGTATTTTCTGATAGTCTTAAGCTACCCCAGTGAAAGGGTCGTTTGACTCCCCAAAGGGGTCGCAACCCACAGGTTGAGAACTGCTGCTCTAGAGGAAAATGACTGGTGGGTTTGAACTTCTGACCTGTGGTTAGCAGCTCAGTGTGTAGCCCACTTCACCACCAGGGGTCCTTCTCAGACAGGGAGAAACCTCACTCCCATTATCTTCTATACTGTAGTGTGGTGAAGTGAAATTTCTTAATAGGGCTTGTGGTAGTTAGATAAATTCATGTCAACTTGATGTATGAAAGTGTCGGGGTGGTATCCAACTTGTCAATCAGGCCACATCCTAATGGTGCCTCCTTGTAGGCATGGTCTTCTGATAAAGAGGGCCCTCGGAACCCCCTCTCTCTTGGCCTTTCCATTCCTGCTTGTTCCCCACCCCAAGAGCTGCCACAGCCCAGCCATGTTTCCACCAACCTTGGATCCACATGACTTTGCACCCACCAGCCTGTGATCTTCTTGCATTCTGCATCATTGTACGTAGCTGGGTGAGTCTGAACAGGGACTTATAGATTAGCATCGGACTTAATGGACTTGAGTTGAACTGGGCTAGAATGTCTTCTTAGTACATCATTACTTCTTGATATAAATCTCTTTCTTATACATATATGAGGGCTGCCAGCCTAACACACAGCTCATCTCTCCATGTCCTTAAGGAGCTGTGGCAATGTAATGGTTACGTGTTGGGGGCTGGGCTGCTAATGCAAGGCCAGCAGTGTGAGACCACCAGTCACTCCACTGGGAAAAGGCTGTCTACTTCAGTAAAGAGTTAGTCTCTGAAACTCACCAGGGTACTTCTACCCTGTCCTATCGGGGTTGTTAAAAGTTGGCATTAAAAAAAAAAAAAAAAAAGTTGGCATTGACTCAATGGCAGTCAGTTTTTATCCATGTCTCTAACTCCACAAAATGATTGGGTGGGACCATGCAAACAGAGCACGTGAAACACCAATAGAAGGGACTGATCCGTTTTCGTTGCCATGTGTAAGAGGGCAGCCATCTCAGAAGCAGGAACAGAGAGAATCCTGGGACCATCAAAGAAGAACCAGCAGAGGACCAGGAGCTGAGCCCAGAGGCACTAGAGGCCACTGCAAGAGACCATGGGACAAAGCAAAGGAGCCAGGCTAGGAGAGAGCAGAGGGATGCACCCTGAGACCTGAGATCACACGGTGAGGGTGAGTGAATGGCTGGTTCCTGGCATGCAGAGGTAGAAGCCAAGAGACCACATGGTGAGAGGCTGAGGACCAGAGAGATAGACTTGGCTGCTGGCTGAAGGGGAGTGTTGATGTGAACCAAAGACTGTACCTGTACTATTATTAACTGATCCTGATCAGTGGTAACCTGTTAACTTCCCCAATAAAACCTCACAATCTGGAAGCATAAGTATGATCCTTAAATCTTAATAGGATGTTAGTTATACATCATCTCTTCTAGGAAATGTATTCTCCTAAGTGGCTCGAAGAGTTAACTTGCTTGCCTTTTCTCCCTTTCACTGCAAGACTACAAAGAACTGTTGAAAATCTCCAGATGATGATACGTTACTCTTCAATTACCATCAAAGATACAGTGTTGAAATATTTCTTCCAATTTGGGGAGATGTGAGACTAGACATGATGAACAATGGAGAGACGATAGGAAAATATTAGCCCAATTTTCTATCATTGGACCTGCCGATTCCAGTGGCTCTATAAGTGTGTATAATCTTTGAAACTTCCATTTTCTTCTTTCATGAACCCTTCCCTGGGAGTGTTAAAATCTTAGTACAGTTTCCTCTTGTATCTTGGGCCTTATTTTCACACATAGTTGTATGAACTTCATGATCAGGAATCACAGGAATAAAAAACTGGGGCTGCAACTATCCCTTAGATTTTGTCCAGCCCAATCTGTTCAGAGTCTTCTAATTGAGCCAACCTTACTGACTATAATGAGACTGTGCAACAGGGCATTAAAATAGTAAAAATGTGGTAGTCCTAGGCCACTGTTCACTGGGCACCCAAAATTCAAGAGATCCAGACCAAAGTCCAATGATGTCAATTCGATAACCTGGGGATAGCAGTCACTTGCTTCTTCTCACACTTCTCACACTGGGGGTGGGGGGTGGGGGGGGGTGGTTCCAAAGGGGTATATTGATTCTTTAAATTTGCTACTGGGTGAGTTTGAGATATACACTATAACTGGGTGAATTGAATGGTATATGAATTACAGTTCAATAAATCTTCTTTTTTAAGTCAAGCCCAAGCTTCCTTGGACTGTATATACTCTACAGTCTTAGAATGATAAGTCTTACCTTAAACTCTGACAACCATTCCTCCACAACTCCTTTTTCTGAAGTGAACATCTTTCCACATCTGTTCTAACTTTCCACCTGAAAATTAACATTAAAAAGTTAAAATTTAGATCATGTTTTCTTCTTTCTTGAACATGTTTTCATTGATTCAGGCAATCATATAAAGCTATTTCCCATAGGTGCAATTAAAGCAATTTCACAATTACACAGGTGGGTTTATTTTAAAGCCATTGTCCATAAATGAGCCTTCAAATGCAAGAATTTTTTAAAATGCAAGAATTCTAACAAAAACATGATGAAATTGGCACTACAATTTTCATTCAGCTTTCAGGAATACTAGCTGCAAAATTTTTGGACATTTCCCCCATTATTTTCGATTAAGTCATTGCAAAAAGATGGTGCCAGTTTAAGAAAGTTATAGAAAGTATTTCAAAACCATGAATATATAAAAAGCCATGCACCCAAAATTGACTTTGCGTGAGGCATTAAGGTAATGTAATTTGCTTACATTTTTGTTTTTTGGTGTGTGTGACAGTAGTAATCTACCTAGGCAAGCTACTTCATTCTTCCAAAGCTTAATATTCTTTAAAAAAAAAAAAAGTGCAAGTGACAATATCCAAGACAATGACCATATCCAACACCAGGTATTCAGAAGACTGAGTTACTTTAATAAAAATAAGAAAACACACAAGCTAAAGGAAATACAAAATAGTTTTACCTTGTGGGGGGAGAATTTTTAGTAAAGTACAAGATGTTTTCTTCATCCAACATCTGTATGGGAGGGAATTTATAAATTGTTTTCTGATTGAAAACTTACCTCTGCCTCAATTTCCTAGCCTCCTAATTCAGGTGCAAATCCTGTATTAGGATTCTTAATTATCGTCAGCATTGCAATGTAATAAAAACGGAGGCAGAATTGCCAAAACCAGAATCCCAATTCTACTTTTACATGTAACATCACCTTGGGCAAATTCCTTACCTTACTTTCTCCTCTGAAATGGGAATAACTGTAGTACCTATCTCCTAGAGGCTACTGGGAGGATTGAGTAAAAATTAAAGCACTGATTACAGGACGTGATAGTAGAGTATTATTACTATGCCACACTATAATTAAGCTCTGTAACACCCCTGTTCAGTTGTATACCTATCTACAGGACCTATAAAGGTATGCCTTAATGAACGCCAGAGGCTCTTGTCACAGAATGCATCCTGATGTCTCATGAAAACATAGTCAATAAAAAAACTAGAAGTATATATTTACAGAAATATACTCATTTTATAAGGGGTTCAAAAATCCACGGATAATAGAATGAAAAGAAAATGTAATTTGCCATGAACATTTGGGGGCCTGTCCATAGACATGTTCATTATGATGGGTTCCATGAGGTGTGCATCTCACACTTCAGAGTAAAAACCATCCCATTCGCTTGTATTTTAAGTTTGATTCTTGGATCAAATCAGACTCTCAAAATATCATGTTTTTACCAGATTGTTGATTTTACAGAACTGTCCATTCGAGTGAACTTGGCTTTGACTTTATGTGCAAAATGATACTGAAAGCTCTGTTAGATCACATGTTTGCTCACCCCTTCAAAATTCAACAGAAGGAAGTTCACACGCTCAGTATTCAGTACCAGAAAAAAACTCTTACAGCAACTGAAGTGCTTTTGTCTTACAGGGACAGCGAACCTCATAACCGGTCCTGTTTTGTTTCTAATGGCGGCCTGAGTTCCTGCCCGAATTCTGTATACAAAAGAGCAGGTCTAAATTAACTTTATTCATTACTCTATTTTCCATTCGTATACTTTCTTTCTTTCATCCTGTTATACTGTACATGGTTGTGAAGCAAAGTAAAAATAACATGCACTTTCTTTTTTATTTATCCACTCTCTAGGCTAATAAATTAGGATGGGAAATTACACAAAGAAAGAACCATGCTACACCTAGTTATAAAGAAGTGGGGGAGTAAGGCTTTGCTTTAAATTCAAAAACAACTTCCTATTTAAAATCAAGATTATTGTTAAAAGATTAAAAAGAATCAAGAAAACATTCGATCTATGAAAAAATAGAATTTCCTGTACATTGACAATCTGATCTCATTACAAAGACATGCAAAGGCTCAAGAATAACAAGGATAGAAAAACTGGCCAATAGGACAGAACTGAGAGGCCAAACACAAGCCCACACAGAAACGGTTATCTGATTTCTGACAAAAGTGGCACCACCATGTGATGGGGAAAGGGTGGTCTTTTAATAAATGGAACTAAGTCAACTGCATAGTTACTTAGAAAAGAAAAACCAAGAACCACGAATGACCTCATAGCTCATGTCAAATGCAAAAGTTTTCTTTATCTAGGTGCCGGTTACAAATGTTTGTGCATTGTGTGAAAATATACTAACTTGGACCCTTATAAAGTGCACTTTTAAAAATAAGTCTATTCTATATTAGTAGCACCACACACAACCCAGAGCTCTTATTTTACATCCTCAGAGATCAAACAGGAGCCTTCACTTGTATAGGTGAGTTCAATGAATACTCAGATGCAAGCTCAGAGTAAAACTATCATGCCCCATACTTCTTTGTCTTATTCTGGTGGGGGGGGGGTGTCCAAAAGTTAGTCCAGAAATTCCTTTCTACTAAAATCTTCACAGCCTCACTACCACTATCTACCTTACAGCCACCAGGATTAAATTCATTATGCCCATATTTATCCTTGTTTGTGTCAGCCACCACAAAAAACGACTCCCAAGTTTCCTTCACCCCTTCACATTCATCTTCATGACTCTTTGCCCATCCTATATTTGGCCCCCACCAGATAGTATTAGCTATCTGGTGCTGTTAAAACAGAAATACTACTATCGGGTGGCTTTAACTGATGGAAATTTATTCACTCACTATTTAGGAGGCTAAAGTTCTGAATTCAGGTGCCCAGCTCACGGCGAGAGATTTTTCTGTCAGTTCTGTAGGTCTTGGTCCCTTTCAACCTCTGTGGGGCTGATGTTCCTTGGGAGATGTCCGTGTGTCTTAGCATCAGTCTTCCCCTGGGTCTAGGAGGTTCTCGGTTGAGGGACCCTGGGTCCAAAGGATGCCCTCCACTCCCAGCTCTTCTTTCTTACTGGTACTGAGGCCCTCCTTCACTGCTTAGTCTTTCTTCTTTTACTTCGTGTAAGATAAGAGGTGATTCAAGCTCCACCTCAGAGAAAGCCCCCTTACATCATCAGATCAGGGCTGTGACCTGAGCACCGCACTTTAATCCCCTTACAACTGATTGGCTGGTCACACCATGGGGTGATCACATCATTACAAAACTGCCAAACCATTAAGAATCATGGCACAGTCAAGTGGACACATATGTGGGGGCGGGGCATAATTTAATTCATGGCACTATCCCCCTAACTCTGGAAGAAGGAAACCCTCCCACTCTGCCCACTGACAGTGAGTTACCAGCAACATCCTATACACAGTTTTCTGAATGTGGCCTCCTTCTTGTTCGAACCCAAATTCTGGTTGTTCTCTGAACACATTGCTTCTCCTACAGCCTTCTCACTAAAGTGACTGCTTTTCTCACTAAACCCCAGGAGAATCACTGGGCCTACAGGTAGAGCGAGTGTTCTCTTCCTCCTTATCATCCAGCCAGATTATCCTCCCTCTCTTCTCTCTAGCCATCAGCCCAACCTGCTGTGAATTTCCTGTCCCTGTTATCTCTCAAGGGAGCCCTGGTGGTGTGTTGGTTACATGTGGAAGTGGAATCTGAAAGATAAGCAGTTGGAAACCACCAGGCGCTCGAAGAAGAAAGATGGGGCTTTCGACTCTTGTAGTTAGCCTCGGAAACCCACAGGGGCAGTTTTACCCTGTCTTATAGGGTCACTATGATTCAGCATCAACTCGATGACAGTGAGCTTTTTTTTTCCCCCAGGGGGGTAGATTTGGTCATCTTTCAATTAACCCTATCCCTTCCTCCATCTTACTGCCACTGAGTCATTTCTGATGCAAAGCAACCCTCTCGACTAGGGAAGAACTGCCCTTGTGGGTTTCAGACACTCTAGTCTTGAAGGGAGTAGGAAGCCTCATCTTTCTCCCACGGGCTGGGCTGGTGGTTTCCAAGTGTTGGCATGGAGGGTAGCATTCCCCCATGCTACCATGAACTTTCTTTCCTTGCCAGATGAACTTAGCCCTAGCTCACTGTCACTCATTCAAACCACTCCTATTTTATTTCCCCCTCAAACCATGACCTCTTACTTCCTAGAACTCTCCTCCATTGATATTGTCTTCTCCCTACTTCAGAAACTTAATCCTATGTTTATAACCTTGAACACTTTAACCCACCAGCATCAAGCCAATTCTGAATCATCACAAGCGGGACCCAGTAAATCTGTTTCTGAGGCTAAAATCTTTATGGTAGTAGATAGTCTCATCTTTCCCCTGTGTTTTAGTGGGGTTAATATTCATTAATTGTTCATTTTATTTGAGTATTGGTCTCTTTTTCCTCTTTGTAGGCCTAAAATATTTTATTATGTACCTGACATTGAGGGTCACACATAACAAAAAGATATGCTGCTGCTATTCTCCTCTGAAGAGTATTGCTTTTGATTCTAGCAATCAGCTGAATTGCTGCCTTATCATTTTGAATTAGTGTAGGCTGAAACAGACTTGGGGGCCAGGGAAAGTTTCCAAAAAAACCTGATATTTGAGTGGAGATTTAAATGAGTAAGAGTTGGATGGGTCACAAAAAGGAGAGGGTGAGAAGGTGCAGTGTAGGGGGCCCCAGGCTGAGTAAGGTCTATAGGAGACGGCCCTGGAGAATCAATCATCAGGCTGCTCTAGGAAAAGACAGAAGTCCCTGTAGTTGGAGTAGAAAAGAACCAAAATGTCCAGATCAAGGCTTCTACTTCTGCCTAGAGAGGCAGACATGTGGGCAGCAACATCAAATCTATAGTCACTTACAGGCAATATAAGTGTGAGGTGGGGAGGGGTGAGAGGGGGGAAATTATGGCTACAAGCATGCTGATTTGGGGGGGTTGTCTGTAACTGCAACGTAGATGAATAATATACCCATTAGGCCGAGTGCTATAAGAGC